AATGGATTAAATAACTTCGTCAGGACCCATGAGTACAATCAGAATGCACTATGGGTAATACTACTGCCCTCTAGCGGTCTGTTGCTGAACTAAAATAGAATGTACTCCTAGAAATTCTAATCATGTATCTGCAATGCTGCAATCATGTTGCGGATTTGCGTATGATAGATAAGCGCAGACATGAAACCGGATTACAACACAAACAGGATGTGGCTGACGTAGCAATAGCAAGATGGTGATAATGCGTGATGACGTCACGATCAGGATGCGACGCGTCCGGGTTTGATGACATAGCAACCCCGCGTGCTCCTCCGTAAATCCCCCTCCTTGTACGGCACACAGTCCCAGCGCCTCATGGCGCAGAACCGGCCTATTATACCTACTGACTTAAATTCTGATCATCTTCCTGTGAACTTCGACTTTTATGGCTTTTATTCCCCGTTAAAGAAACACAGAACTAAGATAAATTGGACCTAAATCTCTGATACTATGCAAGACTTCACTTGCAGAAATAATTATAATCATTGCGGTGATATCGAAGATGAAATTTATAAATTCACCACTAAAATGAAAGATGCAATCAATAATGCGACTTATCCCTGCAAACCTAATTTTCTCTATCTTCTAAATACATAAGAGATATTATTGCAGAGAAGAACAGAAAACATAAGGAATGGTAGCGGTCGGGTGACCCTCGTTCCAAAAGGCACATCAACTTTTTAAGAAGTCCTCAGGATATCCTAACTGCTTCCCGGGACATTGCGACTTAAATGGGATATCCTTAGGATGTGTTGTGTTATGGGGGACACTATAATAAAAATATACTGTACGTGGTATAGATGCAGTACAAACATATGCATAATACGAAACGTTATAGTACAGTTTCCTACTCAAGGAATGTAGTCTGTGACTAATGCTTTGGAAATCTAATGCTAATGACTAATGCTAAATGCTTTGGAAATCGGACTACGCCCACTTTTAGTGGTAGACGTTTTATTAAAGCATAGTGGGGATGGAGTTAAATAAAACGTTTTTTCTTTCATTCCTAATCTTTCGGACGTTTTGGCTTTTCAAGTTAGATCGCTATCTTAGATAAGGATTGTTCGAGACTTGGTGAATTGAAAGGAGGCCTGGCGGTTTTGGATCGCTTTGGTAAGAATTCTATCTTTTGTTTCTTGAGGATGCATTACCGTGCCAACGCAGCCCGTTAGCAGCTTAGGTTATGGAGACGGATGTAACGCGATTAAAGTGGCTACGTAAGTATTACCCAGGAGTAGATGATTACAGAATTAGAGAGAAACTAATGCAGGAGTTAGATGCCCTTAAACAAAACAATTGCCCTGAAAATGATGCTAGGCTAAAAGATTTAAGCGAGCATATTGCTAGTATTACTATCAGTATGGAAAAGGATAATAAAGAAAAAACGGAAGGAGATTCACAAACCCCAAACTCATTCCCAAAAAATGGCAAAAGGGAAATATTTTAACTAGAAACGCAAGCGGCAAAAAACGTAAAAAGCAATCCACCGGATAAAGAAGGAATTTGTTACCCCGCGCATTACGCACAAGCGTACACTATCAAATGAGGAACCGGAATATCCATCTGCAAAAAAAAATTAATTCGATCAAGTTAAATGCTGATGACAAAATGGATGATGATAATGACGAACGAACCATTCATTATACCAAAAAAGACCGCAGGTCACATTCCCCCCCATCGTCCTCGCAGATTTTGCAGGAAAAGTTGGGACAAATTAAAAGTTGAATTTGAAAATTGATTTAAACATCAAAAAATACACCGGCAATCTGTCAGGCGGCAGACTGACAATCAGAGTATTTGAATCAGATCACTATAGATAGATACCATTACTTCATTACAAATTCATTAATAATACATTACTTCATTGCTAAAAAAGGGAGAAATTCCATTTCACACCTTTAAGCTGAAATCAGAAAAGCCAATAAAAGCTGTCATCAAGAAACTCCCCAAAACATCTGATATTGAGATTCTAAAACAAGAAATCTTGGATTTAGGAATCCCCGTTGAAAAGATAAAGCAGATAACTGCCAAAAAAGATGGAGAAATAATTAAAGTACCCGTTTTCTTAGCGGAGGTGCAAAGAAACTCCCATGGGAAAAAGATATTCGACATAAAGAAACTCCGAGGGTTAGACGTTCTCGTAGTAAACTACAAATCAAAACCAGGCCCTGTGCAATGTCATAAGTGCCAGAAGTACGGACATACACGGGACCTGTGCAACTACACTCTTAGGTGCCTAAAATGCGCAGAAAACCACGAGACGCACTTATGCAAAACGCAAAAAGGTGTCCATGTTCCCATCTGTGTTCTTTGTGGAGAAAATCACGTTTCTTCCTACCGTGGTTGTAAAAAATACCCAATTAATATCCAAAAACGCATTGAGGAAGAAAAGCTGCAAAAAAAGCGCAGGAAGCGCTTTGATTTCCTGTTCAAACTATTTTAGTTTCCACCTCTCCTATTACTTCGGACAAAGCTGCGGAAGTAGCTGTTCGAATTTTAGCTATCAACAACGCGAATATATCTGCCATCCTCTCTAACAATGAATCTTCTTCGGCGAATGCCAACTATTCATCTTGAGCTCAAATTTATGAAAAAATCAAAGCTCTTCGGGAAAAAAAAAAAAAAAAAAAAAAAAAAAAAAGTGTCCGAACTTCGCCGTTTATCTCGTACCAATTTTGCTGGCCGCAAACGTTCCAAATCGCCATGAGAAAACTTTGTGCTGGAATCATCGAAAATTCAAGCATAATGCAAAAAAGTGCGTTTCTCCGTGCTCCTACAAGGGAAACTTGAAAAAGGAAGAGTAGAGGCGACCGACTCTTTCCATCCTCATACATCACGTCGCCTTTTCAGTAGTGACCGATCAACAGGTAGATGTTTTCTAATAGATTCAGGGAGTGATGCCAGTTTAATTGTTGTAAATAAATCTGAGCTGAAGGCACCAGCACTCGCTAATGGTTTGTCCATCAATGTGCATGGTCGCAAAACAATAACTGTTAATTTTGGTTTAAGACTCAATTTTACTTTCTCTTTTTATATTTGTAATGTTACATGCTCGATCATAGGTGCAGATTTTTTATATTACTTTAACTTACCTCCTGCCAGATGATGTTACTCATACCTCATTCTTAACTCCAGTTTCAACTCCATCCCCATGATGTTTTAATCAAACATCTACCACTAAAAGTTGGCGTAAAGTCCAATTTCCAAAGCATTTAGTCACAGACTACATTCCTTGAGTAGAAACGTTTTGTATTATGCATACATTTCTACTGTATCTATACCATGTACAGTATATTTTATTATAGTGTACTTCATATTCTATATTGCACTATTACATCATCATTTTCTGTATATTTATTGTAATTTGTAATCGTGACTTCCTCACTGGGGGCATACTCTGTAGACAATCAGCAAGAGGTGCAACAACACCTGTCCTGTTACTTCGCAACTTCTGTCTCGCCTCACAGCCTCGTTTTGGCCGAAGCTATTGGAGTGAAAAGATTGCTACGCAATGCTCCCGGTACGAGTCTTGCTCCTGTGTGTATAATAAAAAATATTTTTATATCAATGCTGTTTCATTCAGTTATGGTGTCAGATCAAGCGATACCCCTCGTCCATAGTAACCATCCTTCAATATAATCTATATTGCTATGATTTAAGAACCAGTTTTAAAATCTGGGACTTGTTAAAATAGTAAATTAAAATATTACTAAAGTATTTTAAAAAAAATGGTTTTTAGTGGGTTATCACCCAGAGAATTAAGGAAATAACGAAACAACAGGGGCGTAGCTAAAGGGGGGCAAGGGGGGCATCTGTCCAGAATCCAAGGGGCGCCAAACTGACGTTACGACATTTTAGAATTAAATGTTTTCCATTCTTGGCAAGCAGTAGGGGGTGCGAAATCTTCAGTTGTCCCTGGGCGCTGAAAACCCTAGCTACGACTCTGCGAAACAAGGAATGTTATTTAAATGGATGAGCTTCCAGTTCCTGCAAATATATATATAAATGACAAAATTTTTACTCATTAAAATTGAATACAAGTATTTAAAAATTGCTCACTGTGTCTTGATATATACAAATAACTTAATCAATTAAGAATTCAAGAAATTAAATCATTGTTGAACTTTATTTTGATTTTCTTTGTGTTAATAAAAAATAACAATAAAAATTAACATGCTACTTTTAAAAATATTAACGTACAATATAGCATAAAAACATTAACAAAATATATATACAAATGCAAGATATATTATCATCACAAAACAGCACCAATTGATATTTCTAAAAATATGCTTTACAATAAAAGATAAACCAACAATGTTTGAAAACATTTACCTCACTTAAAAACAGAAATTGTTCACTGGTTAATGTCTCAGTGAAAATCTCATTTGTAATCTGAAAATTTTTATTATGCTAAATATATAACTGTATAAGGAATCTTGCATCAGTAAAAATATTCAATCCTAAGTAAATATTAGGAAATATATATATGAGCACAAAATTGCTAATATGTAATTTTTCAACTTTTAGAATTTACTCATACATAATATTAGCATATCAAACTATTTAAAGTGTTTTGAAATTATCACAGGACTAGTTTAGTTTTACCAAGACAAATGGTAAAAAGTGTATTTCTTTTCCTAATATACCTTTTATATGAAACACAGTAAATTTATTGAAAGATATATGTATTTAAAATACTGCTCAAAAGATATCTGATTATCTCCCTCTGAGCGGTGCGGGTTTTTAGAACTGTCATGAAGACCTATGCTTAAACAGCATTTTTTAGCTAAACATGTATATATTTTTTAGTCTTTATTTTCACAAAATTACATTCATTAAGATGACATTTACATTATTAAAGATAAAAAGAAAGCACAATACCTAAATTATAAGCTAATATGAACCAACTGACAAAAAATCTCATGACTGGATGAAGCCGGTCATGCTGCTCAGAGGGTTAAATTAAAACATAACATCCAATATTTTAACAATGAAAGTTCAAAACCATTTTTATTACTTCATTATAGAATGTGTACAACATATTTAAAAATTTCAACTAAATGAGACTTTTTGATTAAATTTCTGTAGAAAGTGAGGTAATGATCTTGACAACAGTAATGCTTCAGTTGTTTGGCAACAATCAGACATTTTGGCAAAATATTAATCAAGAGTGTATTATTTGTTATAAAAAATAAACTGCTACCAACTCATATTAAACTTTTATTGTACAGAATATCTTCAAACTCACTTTTCCACTAAGGAAAACCAAATTTAAATATTTTCAAGTATGTTAAAATACTTGCCACTAATATTTTTTCATCATTCACATTCATAAAAAATTTTAATAAAATATATGAAGAAAAGAAAAATAACATAGCTTAATAAATGCTTATAATTACTCTTATTATTAAGAGATACTGAGATTCCTTACCGAGATTCCATACAATTCAAATCTCATTTAATAGCACATTATTTTGAAAGCAGAACAAGAAGAATAAAGACATTTTCATTATGTCAGATTTTCATGGTCAATGGCAAAATATGCAATTTCTCCTTTTAAATTATTATTCTGTGCTTGATATCTTATATACTATCCATAACATAAGAACTATTATATAATGAAAATATTACCTCATATCATAAGATGAATTTTTTCAGGCATTTATACTAACTAGTTTGAGGATATAGAGCCATAGAATAATGTAAAAAGTTAATGTAATCACACACAAAACAAGTACAGTATAACAGGAAAAAATAATAATAATAATAATAATAATTCCAGTATACTTGCAACTTAAAAATGCAGTTTGGAATGCTTCCCTTTTTATATGGAAGATGACCTAAAAATGAATTGGTTAGAAAGAAAGAAATTTTTTTTTTCTTTCTTTTTTAACCAGTTCATTGTTAGGTCATCTTCCATATTTACAATGTTTTAACATTAAAAATTACAATTAACTTCACTTAGAATAACTTGATAGTCAACTAACTTGCAATTTACTGCTCTGATTGAAAAATAAAGGAATTATATTTTCCCTTTCTTTAATTTTTAAAGAACAATCAAAGTCTTGTACACGAGCTTAACAAGACATAAGCATTCAGAAACAAAACTTCAAGTTAAGAGAAATTATTTTTAGTATGTATAATTAAGAAATCTGAAAATAAAATACTCTAGGTCCTGATTACTTATTACAATTTAACTACTGTTTAATTTATCTTGAAACTTGTGTCATCTTGGATAAAGAACTAGATCTAGTAAAGGCAAAAACCTGTATCCTGGATTTTATCAGACAAATTTTAATAATAATAAAATGCATCATATGCAGTTATGACTGAATGCAGCAAAATTTCTTTGCGATTCTAGTATGTGAAAAAATTAAATATTAAGTAAAAATTTTTAAATAATTAATAGGTTAAGCTTAAAATAAATTTCCTTCTATGAAAACATTTAATTTTAAATGATCTAGTTTATCTAAAATATATCTTTGTACTTTCTTTACCTATATATTTTATGTACAAATTATTTTAATGAAAAATAAAATACAAGGTTTTCCAACTACAAAATATTTAAGCTATTTTTATACTACATATAAAAGCAGCTTTTAAATGCTCAATGTAAAAATCTGCAATTCTAAACATAAATACATTTAAAAATAATCAATGAAATGACATGCATTAAAATTATAATTAGCATTTAAACTAATTTCTATAAGCTGATTCTCACATACTTTGAGTGTAATTTTACAGGCAATTTTGTATTTAAGAATCATGTTTATAGGTGCACAGCACTTTCAGCTTTCTAAATAGTGTATAGCTGTAAAAAATTGAAAAACAGACTGATGTTCATATTTAATTCAATGTTCACATAAAGCAAAATATAAGCACTAAGTGCAGATTATATAAGGGTAAAAAAATAATGATAATGAAAAACTTAAACTAATACTAGTGATACTGACATAGAAATAATGAGCTTATCTACATATTTTTTTTCTTTTAAAAATAACAAGAAACATATATATCACATTACATGCTTAATCAGAATTCAAAAGAATGCTCGGAATGTCATTTTCCCATTAATGTTATAAAACATACATAAAAACATGAACAAAAACTGAATACTCTAAGTTCCTTTTGCAAATACAGCTTATAAAACAATGCATTTGTATTTTACAAACTATTGATACAAAATAGCTACTTCTTTTGATTAAAAACTATGCTACTTAATTCTATACACATTTATACATTGAGATTCAAAGTAAATGTAACAAGAGAGGCCATTTGCTTTGTCTGAGCTCAAAATTCGATGGACCTGTAAATATAAAATATTTTGAATGAATATTTAAACTTCATAAAATTTATTAGCTTCAACAAAATTATATCATACTGAACTCCTGATTATCCAACTGCAGATTATTCATTTTCAGGAGAATTAGTGCATTAAGTAAATAAGTAAGTAAAAATAAAACAAAGGAGAAAGGGAAGGTGAGATAGACAAATATGAAAATGCCAGAATTTAAGCAATAATCACCCTCTGTATCAGCCTTAACGTTTTCTGCCTGCACTAACCCTCTTCCCCACAAAAAAACATAAGCGTAAGTCTTATGGAAATAAAAAAACAGAATATTTGATATGTTAATGTGCTGAAATCATAAAAGCAGAATGATTTTGTTTCTTAACTGGGGATTTATTTCTGGAGTTTCTTGAAAAAGACAAGGAGAGTGAACATGTACCCTCAAGTTAAAGGATTTTCAGTGAGAATCTTTTATTAGATTTAATTCTAATAATCATTTGATATTTTGCATTTGATCAGAAAGCTTTTATTTGTGAATATATGCTTCAATCTGAAATGTTTTAATTAAAAGTATTTTGACATGTGTTTATTAATCTTATACAAGAACAAATGAGCCTAAGCAACCAGTTAGATAGAGGGAAAAAAAATACCATTTTAAGAATTAAAAAAAAAAAAAAAAAAATGGATAGAGAGAAATAAGCTAAAGAAAGAAGAATCAATTCACAAATTTACTATAGAATTGGGATTTAGAATTATGACTTCAAGGAAAAGAAAGAAAAAAATTGCCTGAGATTTGCAAGTGACTCTGACACTATAATTATGGCAAATTTGAAGAAGTCATTTAAAAATTCTTTGTTTTCAAAACTTGATCTTTGTTTCATTCAATGGATCAATCAAAACTAGCAAAAGGCATTCTTATCTCAGGAACAATGAGCATGGTAAAAGGATTATTTCCATTTTTTACCGAAGGTTTCTTTTCATTATGTTCAGAAATCTTAAATTATTTCATTATTTATATTTAATTTTAATATAATGCTATTTGAAAAAAATAAATATTATATTTATACTGCATTTATGACTATTTTTAGTTAGCTGGATTTCATGATGTACTACATACAGGTACATGCAATATTTAAAACATTTGATATGATTATTTTTATATTTCAGGTTGTTTTTAGATTATTTGTAATTACCTAAGATACAATTAGTATGGATCATCATAAATTAAATACAATTATGTATTACATTATACATAAAATAACACCTAGTAAAAGAATCAGAGATCAGGTACTTCTAAATTTAAGTCTGAAATCTCCATAAATAAGAAAACTATGCATATGCTGTTATTTTCAAAAATGTAACAGTTTGGGAACGCATGCTTAAAAATTCGTAGAAATTTTCAGCAATGCATTGTATAAATATTGCAAAAGTATGCAATGAAAGCAGTTTCAATATACACGTTTAAAAAATATCATACAAAGGGTCCAATTTGTGACATGCATGTAAAAAATGAGCAGTTGCTAAATTTAAAAATGTCAATAATTGTAAGGGTTCATAGCGAAACTTGTACTGCTTTCACCAATCGGCGGAGGTGTGAAACCAAGCAACTAGGAGTACAATAACAGATCAAAGTCAAATCAGGGGTACAAAAACAAGGGGGGGAATTTATTCTTCAAGTTTAATTATAAAAATTACATACATGACATAAATTATTGAATTCAAATTATCTGTTCTTTATAAACAGAGCAGAAAATATATCACTAATAATAAAAATTAGTATAAACAAAATCTCAGACTGTACTGTATATTTCTACTATGATCAAGAAAGATTGAACAAAGAAATTGTTTTATTTGATTACAGCTCAGTACATTATCTGCTTAAGGAGAGGGATGCCGTGCAGGACCTTCCAAGGGAAACTGACTTGTATCCACATTAAACATGAAGAAAACAATGAAAATACCCAAGCAGCCAGCCCATTCGCTTGGAATTGTTCAGCAACTTTTCTGCTTGGCTGTTGATTGGCCAATTGATTGAATGGATAAGTCATAAAATGATAAAAATGAATACTTTTCAATTAAAATATAAATGAGCCATCAAGTACATGGCAAACTTCATGCAAAAAGAGATAAAGATTCAATGCATGCAGGGGGGGGGGAATTTTTGTGACAAATTGAAATGCAGGATAATTCAGAATTTCATGGAATAATATGTGCAAGATTAAAACCAAATGGGGAAAAAATATGATGCACCAAATTTGTCAAATCAAATTTAGAGGTGAATATAGCTGTCTAGAATTTTAATGTTTGTACAATATTAAAACAAGTATATAAATTTTAACTATGAAGTATTCATTACAATAACCTAATGCTTCTTTATAATTTAATGAACAGATATGGGAAATACTAAAATAAAATACAAAAAATTATGAATGTAACATTTAGAATTCTAATTTAAACATTAAATATTCATGTGAGCCATTATCCAGTTCAAAACAGTTAAATCATTCTTTTTAAAACAATATATATATATAAAACTGTTAAAGAAGTTTTTTTTTAAGAATGCTTTAAACTATAAAAAGATACATATGCTGATGATCTCTGATTAGGGTTTTCATCTGATGTAAGCATTTACTTAAATATGCTTTAATTTTATGCAATAATAGTCTTGAAAAGCAAAATTTGAAAGCAAATCAGGAGCAGTTCCTTAACTTTCAACACTTGTCTACACCACACAATAACACGAGAATTTAAAAAAGAAAAATCTATTTTGCTCAATCTTATATACAAACACTTTAGCCATTTTATTTGTAAGAAGAGTCGTAATTTTGCTCAAAGCTGAATCCAATCCTATTCATAAACTTAATACTTGACAGCTAAGTTTTAAGATTAAATTTAATGACTGGAATGATGAGTATACCAAAATAGCAGATTTAAGAATTCCTGATGTCAGAACACCACGTCATTTGTAAAGTCTCATTTAACACTATAGTTAAAAGTATGAATAGGGTATGTAATATTTTTCAAACTTTTTTATCTTGCACTTTGAAACAGCATCAAGATTGCCATTAACAGAGGATTTTTTTCTAAGATCTTGAATAAAGCCTTTAAAAAATTTTTGTCTTCTCATCAAAGAAATTCTCCCATCAGAAAAATATTAATTACTTTATTGTCATTTCACTCCATCCTTCTATTAGTTATGGATTCTTCAGAAGTTCAGTTTTAAGGTAATTTTTTTCATCTACCAAATAAAATTAATTGTTTAATTCTTAAAGATCCCCTCTCCTAATTATGTTCAAGGGGAATTTTTCTATCTGTATACATACTGCACTAATAGCATATCTTGTCAGTGTAGTTTGGGGTATATCAGGAAAAACTAAAAGCATGTTAATATTTCACATCAAGGAACTTGAATCTTATGTCTGACATGGAAGTATAAACAAATCTTCAATAATAAATCACAGTTGGATACTTAGTCCCAATTTTGACACTCTAGTTCTGGAAAAATTATTCACAAAGCTTCTTTGGTTAGTGGATTGGATTTCCTTAAAGCTTTTCATATTCAATAAATCTTTCTTCTTTAGTTAATGATATTAATTTATATTCAGTCCCTCCTACACTTTTAAAACTCTAATATATTAGTTTTTCACATATCATTATTATTTTCCTCGAAAGATGGCACCATGTTCATATTTGCTTTGCTCTGTCAATTGCTTTGACATAAATAACAGCAATTGCTCATTTTATTTTGCAGAATTTCTTTGCTCCTGATATAGATGGATCCAGATGGACCTGTGCCTGATCACCCTCAAAATCAATCATTTTATTAAAATTCTACATCAACATAAGGTTGCTGTTTTTCTTAATTCAAAATATTATATTCGTGTGTTTCTCTTCTACAATAACACATGCTGGCTGCTTCCATACTTTTACATCAGCAATGTATGAGGGCTAAATTAACCATATACAGACATCTATTCAAAGAACTCATATTGGCTATATTGTATATATACTCATATTGTATATAGCTGATCCTAGAGCTGAGCATATGGCATCATGACTGTTATCTCAGCAATGAAATGCAATAACCATACAATTCCTCCATTAAGACAACACAGCACTTTAATTTGTTTTTCAAACATTAGATAGATATATTCTAACTGCCAAAGGTACTCATGATGATGCTAAAAATCCTAATCGAAAACTAACACAGGCTCACTTAAAACCTATATGTCATAGTTTCAGGACCGCACCAGGATAATGAAGGTAATGTTTCAATCATGGAAGTTTTTAATGGCATTATATGAAAACTAAAAGTATTCAGTCATACTATACTAATAGGAGAATTGCCGCTATCAATAGCTTAATTTTGGAAATACGCAATTACATTCACTATAGCTCAGGTTTATTACTTTTAGTGATTCTACATAACTGGGTATCAAGAGCAACTTTACGCTGGCAACACTTCTTACTGTATCAGTAGCAGAATATGGTTATAACAAATTAAAATGGCAACAACTAGCACCAATTAATAAAAGCATTAAATTAGTTAGCAATACTAATTAATTAATATAACATTTTAAATAATTTGGTTTAAATACTATGGCTATTTCATTAAATTAGTTTAAGAAAAGTCAGAGATTGCAAAGAAAACCCATAGTAAAACAGTTATGGAGATTCAAATTGGTTGAAGTAATATTCATAATATAATGCGGTTGTTACACTATTTACATTGGTACTGAATGATTTTTTTTTAAACTTACATAGAATCTGAGAAAACAACTGCAACTTATTGTACACAAATAACAAAACTAAAAAATGAATATTTGAAAAAAAGTGAAAGCTCTTACAACTGATAACGAATATAAAATGAAAATTAACTTGGATCTTTTTAGTCTCCTCCTCAAAACAAATTCAAAAATCACAGACTTTACATGGCTAAAGGATTATAAATGCTATGAAACTACAATATTCAGCAATACAAGATGGAACAATCTGATACGTTGTAGAATTTGTAAATA